CAATGATATGGATTGACACAGTGGCAGCAACAATTGGCTCAAACAGAACATCAATTGTGTAGATGGAGCAGTACCAGGCAATGTTTTGGTCTAGAGTGCATAGAGTTGGTATGATTTGGAACCAACACAACATCACTTAACAAAAATATCACTGTAACAGTGTTAAATTCTTCTAATGTATGGAGTGCTGGTGTGGCGCTGTTGGTTAATGCACCAGACTGCAAAGTCATTTGAACTGCAAGGTTGTCGGTTCAAGCTCACCAGCTGCTCCTCGGAAACCCTATACAGGGTCGCTATGGGCTGGAACCGACTCAACGGCACTTTACAACAACAATGCATTAACCTAGGATGTCGTTCCATTTATGTATTGTTGTTGCTAAGTGCCATCGAGTCGATTCTGACCCATAGCAACCCTGAAAAGGGTTTCCGGGGCTGTAAATCTGTATGGGAGCAGAAATCCTCATCTTTTTCCTGTGGAGCAGCTGGTAGTTTCGAACTGCTGACCTTGTGGTTCGCAGCCTGATTCGTATCCACTGTGGTACCAGAGTAGACCTTTTTCATTTTTTCCAATATGGCACAATGGTTAAACTGTTTGGCTGTTAACTGAAAGGTCAGCAATTCAAACCCACCAGCTGCTTTGTGGGAGAAAGGTGTAGCAGTCTGCTTCTGTAAAGATTATAGCCTTAAAAACACTTTGGGGCCGTTTTATGCTCACCTCCAGGGAGTCCTGATATGGTGCTATAGGATAAAGCACTAGATTACAAGTTTGCAAATTCAGTTTGAATCACAAGTTTGGTGAGTCAAATTTACCAGCACTTAACAATAACAACCACCAGAGATGCTAGGGGTTGGAATTGAGTCAATGTAAAGGTGTTTTTTTTTTTTTTTTGAATGTATCATAGTTTTCAGTGCAAAAGTCTTGTAATTTTGTAAAATTTATTCCTAAGCATTTTGTTCTTTTTGATGCAATTGTAAATTGAATTGCTGTCTTCATTTCATTTCAGATTCTGAAAAAAATGGCTTAAAGTTTGTATTAGCTTTTGTGTGTGTCTATGCATTTCTTCCACTGTTCATCTGTCAGTTTGTGTACTATGTTGTCTTAGGTATTGCTGTGATGCTGGAAGCTATGTCAGCAGAGTCATCCATGGTGGATAGGCTTCCGCATCAGACCTTAGAAAAAGTTAAACTATGAGGAAAAAACTGATGATCTACTTCCAAAATCTAGCCAGTGCATTACAAAATATTATGAAACACTGACTCATTTACTTTGGGTGTGTAATTAAGAAGGAATGAGAGTTGTAAAAGAACATCATGTTGGTAAAGTGGAGAATTAGTGGAGGTCAGAGAAAGCCCAAGGAGATGAACTGACACAATGATTGCAACAATAGACTGAAATATACTAAAAATCAGGAAGGGCCAGCATGACAGAAACTAACAGCAGCAATTGATTTCTTAGAATTTTCTATATTCAAGATATTTTCATCTCTAAATACAGATGGCTTTATTTCCCCACCCCTACCCAGTACAGAGCTCTGGTAGCGTAGTGGTTACGAATCGGGCTGTGAACCTTGGGGTCAGCAGTTCGAAACTACCAGCCGCTCCGAGGAGAAAGATGGGGCTTTCTACTCCCGTAAAGATTTACACCCTCGGAAACCCTGTACAGGGTCGCTATGGGTCGGAACCGACTCGACGGCACTTAACAACAACCCAGTATGGACTTTTATATCTTCTTCTTTTTTTTTTTTTTTTTGCCCAGTTGTCCTGGCTAGAACCTAAAATACAACGCTGAAGACAAGTGGTGTGAATAGATTGTTATTCAAAGATATTAGGGGAAAAGATTTAATCTGTAAGATTAAATATGATGATTTAATTAGGAGCTCTGGTAGGTAGTGGTTATGAATCGGGCTGCGAGCCGCAAGGTCAGCAGTTCGAAACTACCAGCTGTTCCACGGGAGAAAGATGAGGCTTTCTGTTCCGCTAAGGATTTATAGCCTCGGAAACCCTGCACAGGGTCACTATGAGTTGGAACCGACTCCATGGCACATAACAACAACAACAACGATGATTTAATTAGGAGGGTGACATTCTCATTCTCTTCATATCAAAATATATAAATAAATTCAGAGATTCCTCTAATCATTAGTCCTGCTTTGTGTTTTCTTTTATATTAATATCTCTCTGAAATTTTGTTATGATGAGAAGTAGATACCATTTTGCATTTTTTAACAAATTATTCCAGTCCCCTTAGTTAAATCAAATTTTTGTTTTCCCACTCAATTTTGATATTATAAAAACAAAAACAAAAAAGCATTTAATCCTATTTGTTGGCTCTTGTTTTCATTTCAATCTTTATCTATCTTAATGCCAAAAGTAAGTACTGCTTTGATAACAATGGTATTATGTTGTTATTGTTAAGTCCAACTCACAGTGATCCTATATAGGGTTTTGAGGAGTGGCTGGTGGATTTCAGCCACTGACTTTGTAGTTAGCAGTCCAGTGCTTATCCTTCAGTGCCATACTAGAACTCCCATTTGGTATCGAATTTGCCACATTTATATGACCTATATGTCTCTTGGCTAATCCCACATACCTTTTTCTGCTACATAAACTTGATTGTATTCATTAAAAGAGAAGAATTGGGTAGAACTGGCACTATATGATGATAATTTTATAATTCATATCATTCTTTTCATATTATGGGTCTTGTATGTTTTAATAAGAGTTTTTATTTGGGCTGAATAGATACTCCCTACTTTTTAAATTTCAAAAATGTATCATATTTTGTCAGTTGTTGTTGTTATGTGCTGTGAGTCGCTTCTGACTCATAGTGACCCTGCATAGGGTTTCCAAGGCTGTAAATCTTCACGGGAGCAGAAAGCCTCATCTTTTTCCCACAGAACACCTGGTAGTTTTGAATTGGTGACCTTGAGGTTAGCAGCCTGATTCGTAACCACTGCACTACCAGTGAAAGGGAAAAAACAACCCGGTGCTGCTCATCAACCACACTGCACACCAGGTGGCCTGTCTAGAGACTTTTATTCAGGGTGAGGAAGAGGAAGGTGACCTCTGCCAGAGAGAGAAGGCAGGAGGAAGAAGAGAAGGCAGAAAGAAGAAGAGGAAGTCAACAGGAAGGGAGTGGTCTTATATAGGTCCAACAGGAAGAGAGTGGTCATTGCTCTGGCAATGGTGATTTAGCTCTGGCCTATCAAAAGCCATGTTGCCCTTTAAACTATGCGCCTTGTAGTTTAGGGCGGGGAAACAGAAACCTAAGATTACAAAAAGGAGTTGAAGGGAGGGGAGAGGGAAGAACCCGGAAGGTACAGCCTAAAATGGAGGACCTGATATTGTAACAACCAGAACTCTGGTAGCGTAGTGGTTACGAATCGGGCTGTGAACCGCAAGGTCAGCAGTTCGAAACTACCAGCTG